GAGATGAAGTCAATTGTGCTGTGTGCTGCCCCTGGTTGCGTGCCCCTCTACCCCTCCAAAAGTCCAAACGACCGGGATTAGCCAAGTTGCATGTTTCCCATCCTTCTGCTCTTAACCCCACTCTTTCCGGTCTTTACGGTCCCCAAAAGTTCGACATGGTGGGTATCAGATGTGCTTTCCCATAGGTAGACGGTAAACTGCCGCGCGGGAGGACGTCAAGGTGGTGTTGGCGGGACTCGGAAGACTCTTCGGAACACGCGGAAGGGTGCTCGGAATCGGTGTTGTTGGTTTCGACGTTGCGGACTGCCCCGCCATTGGGTGCAAGAGATCGAATATGTGGACTGTTGCAGGGCGTACAGAGGGATCAAAAGCGGGTGGCATTGACGACTTTAAATCAATTTTGCGCCCTTGTTTGACGAACTAAGCGTTCCGATGCATCGGGATTTGTCGTCAAGCATTCCGAGCTGTCCAGACATCAAGCCATGACGGTTGCTGCCGAGATGCAGGCTGGGGGTAATCGATGTCACATGGACGGAGCGATTCACTGACCAGTATCTCATTCGTCACTCAGATTGTCTTAGTTGTCCGCTTCCGTCTCACGTTCTCTACAAGTCATGCGGTTTGGGTAGTGAGAATCACCCAGTTGGGCAACTCGTATGGCAACAAGAGGTGGCACAACACCGCCAGTGTTCAGATGATTGGGACGGTGTTAGCAGACGCAGCCCTCTGATTTAAAATTTGTATTCCATTCTAAGAAAGAAGGGAGTCGGCCACAGTCTGATATTTTGAGGCCTTGCGATCTCGCAGAAGAAGAATGGGTCAACATCTTGTCTAAGAGTATGACGATGGGCGTCAAACTTGACGTGGAGCCTGCGCGGGCAGGGGTGACCAGAGGAGTTTGCTGAGTAGCCGAGTTTGCTGCAACTTGGTACTTCACAGTAAAGAATGGAACAAGGTCAAAGACAGTCTGTTTCACCGTACAAACCACGGTTAGACAATTGGAAACTGGCGACTTCCTCACAAAGAACGGACACCTCAGTGTTGTCTCGCTGTACAGGAAGGAACGGAGGCGGTCGTTGGTGGCATGACCCCGACGTTCAGCTCCCGCTTACTCTACGTGAAGAGAGGGCCAGGAAGGTTACGAAACCAATATCGGAGATCGTGCAGGCGTGGGCAAGGAATCACTGCCAAAGTTCCACGGTGAGTTGGTGATTTTCTTGCTGCGTTCAAAGGCAAGTTCGTGTGGTTGAGAGTTGGTCCACAAAACATTTGACCTGTCGTCATCTAAACTTGGACTACAACACGGATCTTCGGGCTTACGAGAGCTTCTTTTTTGCGAAATTGCTCAATCACACTCAAACATCTTGGTCGTGCTGACGTTCATCCTGCTCCAGCTCCTCCCGTTGACCAGACAGTCCCAGAACGTCATTGGCCAGTAGACGTGGTACAACCACCACGCCGGCAGAGGATCCCACACCTCAAAAGTGCCATCCTTCCAGAACAGCACATGCTCCGCAAAAGCCCAAACCGAGCGCACGTATTCTCTCAAAGACGTGCGGAGCAGCAGCAGACGCAGGGTGGGAAGGAGGAAGAGCGTGACCAAATCGTGCCCGATCCAGTAATATCTCTCCCCCGGCTCCTGCGGGGTCACAACCCCCGGGTCCGCCGCCCCATCCCCGGCCCCGGCCCCGTCCCCGGCCCCGTCCCCGTCCCCGTCCAACACGGCAAGGTACTGCCCCACCAGCTCCGGCGTGTCCCCGAACAGCGCGACAGCAGTGTGTGCGCGCGGGTTGCACTCGATCGGATACAGCGTGATCTGCTCCGGCTTCTCCGCCTTCACATCAGCCCGATCAACCATGAAATCGAAGCTCAGATGCCCCGTGAACCGGTCCCCGAAGCTGGCGGCCTGCGCGCGCGTGAACTCCAGCATGGCCCGCGACAGCGCCGAGCCGGCCGGCAGCGCCGCGTAGTGCATCAGCAGCTCGGCGGAGCGGCAGGCCACGAAGGCGCGCACTTGCCCGCGCACGACGAGGGAGTGCGTGCAGAACTCGTCGCCGTCGATGAACTCCTGCAGCAGCCAGGGCTGCTTGTCCGACATGCCGAGCCACTCGAGGCGGTAGACGAAGTCGTATGTCTGCTTTTCCGTGGGCAGCGGGAGGAGGGTCATGTCGGCGCGGCCCCGGTCGTTGAGGCCCACGGCCTTGGCGATGAAACGCTTCTTCTTTTTCTTGCTGTTGTCGCTAGACTTCTGCGACGTCATCGTCTTGTCGTTTTCGTCGGATGACGGGACGGACGACGGCGGCGACGACGACAGGGACAGCCCCGCGGCGTCCTCGAGCGCAGCAATCATCTCGTTGCGGCTGGTGACGAGGTACGACTCGGGCACGGGCAGCCCGGCGACGTCGCGCGTGTGGTTCATGAAGGCGTCCTTCTCGTGGAGGGTGCGCGTGGCGGCGACGTCGAACTGCACGGCCCGGCACGCCGTGCGGGCCTCGACGACCTCCTTGACGACGCCGTCCTCGACCGCGGACCCGACGCCGGAGCAGCTCACCCAGAGGTCCACGTTCTGGGAGCGGACGATGCGCAGGACGGAGTCGAGGTACGGGTCGGCGCCGCCGGGGGCGGCGGACGGGCGGGCGAGGACGTGGTAGGAGGCGAGGGCGCGGGACCTGCTGCCCGCCGCGAGGGGGGAGAAGTCGGCGCCCAGGACGCGGTGGCCTTGGCGGTGGAACAGACGGGCCAGGGCGAGGCCTTTGGTCATACCGACGCCTGTGACGAGGATCGTCCGCGTGGGCCGGGGTGGTGGGGTGTGCTGGTGTTGGTCTCCGGTGGGAGGAGGAGGGAGGGGGTCCCGGGCGGGACGCCCCAGGAGGCGCTGGTATGCATAGCACGCCAGGAGGATGGCGGTGTCGAGCGGGAGGAAGGTGAGGCTGAGGGCGATCAGGGACAGGTTCTTGAGGACTTGGCCGAGGGGGTCTGAGGATGCGGCGGCTGTCATTGTGGAAGTGTGGTGTCTTGTGTGTTTTGTGTGGACGTGGATGTGTGTGTGCCGTGAAAGGCTCGAGCACCCGCTCTCTCTTCTCTCTCTCAAGGCCCGCCCCGCGACACGTCTCACCAGGCGAGACGCCGATGTTCGAACCAAAGTTGGTAGTTCAACTGAAGCTGAAGATGAGACGGGGGTGCGGAGGAAAGATGGGCGCGCGCGGGATTTGGGGTGGCTTGTCGTTTACGAAAGCATGGGGCGCACACCGTGGGAGGGATGATGGGAGTTGGAGGTTGGACAAGAGACGTGTGGGCGCGGGTTGGGATGAAACAACCTTTTTCTAGCTGCTTCGTCTCAGGAAACACAACGTCTCTCGCTCTGTGTTTTGAGGGTGTGTGAGAGGAATGGACAAAGGTAGGTAGAGAGACAGGCGCGCTGCGCGGGCGCGATGGGCGCGCACTCTATTCCATCATTGCATGTTCACCGCGCCGCGAGGGTTCATCCCGAGGATCCCGAGACAAGGTGAGGTACATTTCCGTCCAGCCCACTTGGGTTGGGTGAATTGGCAGAAAAAGTATACGTCATGGACTTCAGCTCGCGGCATGCCTCTTGTGCAACTCAAGGGAGGCGCGTAAACGAAAGGTCTCACTGCGTTTGGCATACGAAGCGACCGGGTTCTTTTGTTCTCGATGGGTATTTGGAGATGCGGTGACGAGGGGCTTTTTTTGTCTTCTTTCGATTTTGATTGAATGAAACGCGAAGAGAGCGAGGGTGTTAGTGGTGAGGCGAATACGCGTGTGGTAGGCAAGGTAGCATATGACCGACAAACGGCCTTTTACTTCTCTCCGCCTGCACGAAATCGGACATGCAGCTAGACACAATGAATAGATGGATGCTCGTGAGGGGGTTCAGGCAAGCTGATATTTGCAAGAAGTTGGGGAGGAATAGGTCGGGGCGGGTATGTACTCACTTGCTGCAGGGAACATTGAGTGAACCAAAGCCCCTCTGAAAGTTCGATCCGAACCCCACGCCAAGCCATGGTTCACCGATGACCGTAACCGTCCTCCCATCTTTCATGCGGGATCCAAAAGGTTGTTGTTGCTTCTAAGCATGACATGCCCCCTTTTCCTCGATAGTATTCGCATGGGAAGGAACATCCGGCGATGATGCATAGTCTCCAAATTTCATTTCCCGCCCTCACTGCTGCTGCATGCTTCTTTCTTTCTGCCCACCCACCCCCGCATAACACACGCCAATCTTAAGGGATCTTGGTCGGGCAATTTAAAGCGGCAGCGATCAGCATTGAGCCAGAAATAGGTTCGTCCGGTTCAACTGCCCCGAGGGAGGGAACCTGATCGGGGGGCACGGGAGATCTCCCTTTTGGCTCGGTGCATTTTGGAAAATCCCAATATGGGCTTTGTGAAGCCACGCCGAGCTAATCCAGCCACACCCTTGCGCGCGCCGCTTCGACCGCCAACGCCGTCGTCCATGGCGCCAACCGTCGATTGTTCCCCTGAATCCGTGGGACTCATTTGACGTTTTGGAGGGTGTGGTGGCGGGACTTTGACAGTTTGGATTGTATAACAGATTATGAACCAACGTGAGTGGCCATGATGGTGGTGTGGACGATCGTGTTGTGTTTGTGTCTGTGTGTGTGTGTCTGTATTCAATACTATTGAGATGTTATTTGCGTCCCATCCCGCGTTTCCAACGACCGCTCAGCTAAACTATGGTATCATTACTCATTAGAGTCATTAACAATAAACCCCCATGCGCCGCCCGGGCTTCTGTGTGTCTTTTGTTTCCCCGGGCTCCAAAAGGAGTGTCCATGTCAGAGGGTATCCCATCTCGATCGAGTCTAAGCCGTTTCCCTGTCCCTGCGTGCGCCGTTGAAAGAAGAAGGAGTGTATCCCAATACCCCATCGGCGATCCTGTACAACCCAAAAAGATAAAAGTAGAAAAGATGATAATAAAACTCCTGTCCAATGATCCGCGGTCTGAGAGCGTCTAAAAGGGATTATGCGACGGCAATAGCGGCAACAATGGAGTCCAACGCCGAGCTGTGAGTCGGGCCGGAGACTCCCTGGACGGGGCCCGACCAGACGACGCCGAGCTTGCCCGCGGTGTCGCGGTTCTTGGACCAGTTGCTGTCGGCGTTCTTGATGAGGAACGTCTTGAAGTCGTCAGAGGGCGCGACGGCCTGCAGGTACCGCAGGTTGCGGTTGAAGATGCCCTTGAACTGGTTTCCGTCGGAACCGCAGTTGGGCTCGCACGTGTCGTGGAGGATGCCGTTGCTGTCGGTCAGCGCCTTGATGGCGGCCTTGGCGATGTTGGTGGCATCTGTCAGGACGGACTTGTCGCCGGTAGCGCGGCTGAGCTCGACGAGGCCGCCGAGGACGACGCCCTGGTTGTAGGACCAGACGTTGGCGCCGTTGTTCTTGCAGTTGCCGTCGAGGCCGTCGTTGATGGTGCCGGCGCTGTTGATCATGCCGCTGGCCTTGAACCACGTCCACTGGGACTTTGCGATGTTGAGGTAGTCGGCGTTGCTGGGGACGCGGTTGGCGAGCGAGGCGGCGACGGCGAGGTAGAGCTCGTTGGCGATGGCGTTGACGTACTTGCGGTCCTTGCTCCAGTAGATGCCGCCGTTGCAGTTGGTGTTTCCGCCGCCCTGCATATCGGCAAAGATGCGCTTGGCCATGTCGAGGTAGTCCTGGTCGGTCGTGATGTCGTACGCTCGGATGAGGCCGAGCGCCCACCAACCCTCGTCGTCGTAGAAGTCGTTGATGAAGTTCGGGAAGCCCTGGGCGCTCATCTGGCGACCCTTGATGGTTGGGTAGTCGCGCTTGGTGATGGCGTAGGAGGACGTGACGAGACCGGCTGCGTTCATGGACTTGGAGACGGAGGCCGTGGTCTTTTGGGCCTGGTTGAAGGTGTTTCTGAGGATGCCACCGATGTTGAGCTGGTTGGCAGCGTCGCGGTTGAGGTCGGCGAAGTCGGCCAGGGTTGTGAAGGCGTTGGCGCTGTTCCACCAGGCATTATCCCAAAGACCGGTGCTGACGCTGTACCATGTATTCTGGAGGACGTTGATAGAGGAGACGGCGTTGCTGGTGTAAGAGGCGGCGTCTGCCCTCTCGGCGATGGGGCGGGTAGACATGAGGAAGACTACGCGAGCAGCCAAGCTGCCGATATTGGCGACCATGTTGGCGATTATTAAGTATATAGAAGCGAGCACTGAGTCGAAGCCGTGTTGTGATATTTCTCCTTCTCGTCTGGTGTTTGAAGAATGCGAGCGGAGGAGGAGGAGGATATAAGTATTAGCTGCAATGGCGAGAACAATGAGACGCCAACACCGGGGGAGGATGGCCGGGATGTTAAATATATCAGGAGCGGGCGAGGTCTTCGGTCCATGTGCCCCTTGTCCAGCTTCCCTCCGAACAGGTGGACCGGCACAGCAACAATGGAGCGGACGAGGGTGCGGGTAGGATGGCGGGTACGGACAAGACGAGGATGGGGAGGGCGAGCGATGCTGATCCTTGACGCCAATCTTTTGGGTGCAGGGTGTCGGTCGAGGAGGTGGGAGGGCAGAGCTGGACGACGTGGAGCTGAAGCCGGATTTGGAAGTGATGATGGAGCAGGAAGATTGGTTGGAGTGACAGCAGGAAGAAGCAGAGTAGAGGTCAGCAGGAGCAAGGTCGAGTTGAGGATGAGGAGCATGGGGAAGGGCAGAGGATAAGCAGGAGCAGGCGCAGGCGCAGCAGCTCATGGCAGGTTGTGAATCCTCCAGGTCCTGCTGTGGTGACAACAGCGCCATGGTCGTCTTTGGCGGTGCCTTTTCTCGCAGCCCAGAAACAAGCACAAAACAAAACAAGGCTTCATCTGAAGTCGGCATCAGGAGCTGGCTTCTCGTCGAGCCAGCGCATCGCATGGCGCTGGCTGCGCCCTGACAGGGGCCACCTGGAGAGCCAGGCCGAAGATCACAGTCAGGGGTTGGTCGAGGTGGTGTCCCTGGGCCTGGGTCTGGGTCTGGGTCATGGGTCTTTGGAGCAGCCAGAGTAGGATGGGATGAGATCATGGCGAGAAGGGTAAAGCGCGAAGGCGGGAACGTCTCTTCTGTGCGGCAAGAAGGGTTCCTCAGTCTCAAGTGACAGTCAGAGCTGAGCTGCGAGAGAGCAACAGAAGGGAGAGAGAGGGGCGTGTAACAGGACCAGTGACAATGTTAGTTAGCACTGAATACGACGGAATACAGATACCAAGAGAAGATAGAGAGAGAGAGATGCTGGTCCTGGTCTCTGCTCCGGTAAGCGCCGTCGTTCATTGGGAGGACTCAGAAGACAGGAGGCAAGCAAAGGAGACAAGACGACGAGGGTTGGCGAGGAGAGGAGCTTGGGTTCTTGGAAAGCTGGGCCTGGGGCGTTGAATGGTGTTTCAGACAAGATTGTACGTTATGCTGTGTGTTGGCTGAGGTGTGCTTAGTACGCCGTATGTACCTGCCCCAAGAATACGTACCCGTGGACCGCTTATCGGGCGATAAGCTGGGTCGCCCCAGGAGGTCTGACGAACCGAACGAACCCAAAGATCGGTATCCGGAGCTTATCCACGGGATACCTTATGGACCTGATGCTATGGCCAGGGGCTTAAAGGGCCCCCTCTGGGCTGAGGATCCACTGCGACTGCCGCGGCCAGCCCCTAACAGGGGGGGCTGCCTTCCTTAAGGAGGTAGGTACCTACCCTCACCTAGTGTACCCAGGCACCTAAGTAGTGCACGCACTGCCACGTGCGGGTCCGTCCCTCGTCTCTCGTCTGGTCCAGCCATCTGAGGCTGCTCTCGTTAGAAGGGACGTATCTTTGCTTCTGCTTCTTTCCCCCATTGTTACACTCGCAACCTTCCTTGCCTCTGGCTGAAAAGATGCCTTCGAACTACTTACGAAGAGGGCGCCTGGTCACACACTCTCAAATCCGACTGCCGTGATCCCTTCCCATGATCCAGGCCTTCTGGTCATTATTCCCGTCATCGTACAGCATGGCAGCCTCGCCCACGTCTCTCATCACCTAATGGACGTGTCCCTGACGTAGCATCGTCCTGGGATCATCAACCTTGTGGCCAGCGACCGGTTGCTGAACCCAAGCCGCAGACCGACTATTGGGCATCGGGCATGACGTTCGTGATTCAACAGACCGCCAGCTTGACTCGTCGACCTGACTGACTACTGTACTGCACTGTCACTCAACAAAGTCCCTTTGACATGCATACCAATACCAGTCATTCGATACGATGTTGCATGGCAAACTCGGCAAACACACAAGGACAAGGACGAGGCCGTCACCCCAAGAACACACCAAGAACACAAGAACATTCCAAGAACCATGGCCCCGGCGTCCATGTCTCCGATTCGACGCTTGACAGCAGCTTATTTCCCACGGCAGCGGCGCAGGCGGCTGTTCTCAATGCGGTGGACCCCTCCCTTGCCGTGTGGATGGAGCTGCCTCTGGAGCCTCTGGAGCTCGGGAAGAAAAGAATTTTTCCTTTCTTCTTCTCCTGAATGTCGGGGTCGAGACACTGCCAGGGCTCGCTTTGTTTCGAGTAGCAGAACAAAATTACCTCGACATGCGGAACGCCAAAATGCTGCCCGCAAAGACACCAGGAGCATCAGTGCCATCCCGGCGCCGGGAGGTGGCTGACAGTCTTTCCCCTCTCTCTCGGCGGGGTGGAGGGGCCGCTCCTTGTCTTGCCCGGCATCTCCTCGCACCGTGAGCATGTCATCTCAAAAAGGGCTGCGTTTTTTTTGCTCGTCTGCGGTCCTGATCGTCATTGCATCGCAGGCGACTCCAGTCTATCTCAGCATCGCGCCTGCTCAGCTTATTTTCCGAATTGTCGGCCTGGACGTGGCGGGGTTGCACCACAGACAGGCAGCCTGGTGACCCCGACAAGGACGGCGGGCGATGCGATGTTACGGCGTCGAAGATCACGAATTAGCCTCAATGGAACCGTGACCCTGTCTTGTGGCCGGCGATCTCAAGCGACAATGGCACCTCCACTCCAAAGGGGAAACCCACCATCTACTCGACTTCGTCTGGGTTCCCACGGCCGCAAAAAGTGAATCTATTCGATGGATTTGCCGCTCAGCTTCCTCCAGGCGTCTTTGGAAGCAAATAGCCCAACCTTGTTCACCGCTGGTCCGCCATGACGATATCTGATGCTATTCTAGTCAGCACACATACTTACATCACGGAGCGAAGGATTTCGCGGGGATGGTTCCACGGGCCAGCACTATTGATCAAGCAAGGCACAGAGACATTGATGCGCCGCACCAGCCTCACCCGTCGTTGCCGTTGATCTTTTGTCCATTAGGGCCAGGCACGTATCCAATCGTCTGCAGATGGGGCAGCCCTACAGAACACTGGCCGTCATCTTGGGCTTTCCGGGACAGACGTGGACGCCGATCCGTTGCCGGGAGCGGCCTAGTTGCTGCTGACTGCTCACTAAACCTTGGTAACTGCATGTCTAGCCAGCTCAGCAAAGCACGGCATGTCATGTCGCGGCACAGCAGCAACGGCAGAGCAGACGCAGCAGCAAACGACTACACAGCACGGTAAATCCTACGACTGCCTGCTGTCCTCCTGCACCTAGCAACTTACATGCATACGGGCGGTGCTCGACGCTGCAAAATGCGTGGCTCCCATACGCCCAGCCAAGACAAAATCTTCCGACCGCAAGCCTCAGCTCTTGCTTGTCAACGCAGCGGCTAAACCATATGACGAAACCTTCTTTGACGTTCGGGCTCGCATTTCTGAGGCGGGTTTGCGCAACAATCGCCGTTCAAGGACTCAGCCGGGTTTCCGAGTGTGGCCGTACGGTCTCTCCCCCAAGGCCGGCCCTCTTACCCGGCCGAGACGAGCGAGAGTCAGTCTCTGTTTGATTCCGACGCCAGCAAAACACCTCGAAACCAAAGTGACTATTGGCAAAAAAAGTCAATCGAGGTGACACGCCGCATCCTGTCCACTTACTCCATACCAACGCGCAATAGCTTGCGAGGCGTCGTGCAATATTGCTTCAATATCGAATATTGCAGCCACCGCCACCGCCTAGAAAAGATCCATATTGAAATGTCCATAAGTTGAAACATTGGATTCCTTTTTTTTTCTGGGTATGCGATCAGCACCATACGCAAAAATCCCACTTGTATGCTACAGCCAAAGTATGAACCAGATCACAAGCCAAAACAGACCCCTGGGCCGGACCTCCTGGAAACACATCCACGCGTCTTTGGTGTTCCGGTCGGGCTTATCGCAGACGCAGCTCGCAGCGTAACGCGACTTGGCCGTATCACTCATTGTCTTTGACAATCGTGAAACAGACGTCGATCCGATCGCACATCAAAAGTCACTTTGTCTCTTACCTTAGTCACACCTCCGGAGAAGTCCCGGGTCCCCGGCACGCGCGAAACATCATCACATACAACGTTTCCCGGAAAAAGCAAATGCCTCTCTGATTGAAATTTTTTTGATTCTCATTAACGATTAATAGATCTCCCGCGTTCCCATGTCTAGCTTAGTCCCTACATGATCTCGAGACGCAGCGCATCGTACTGCACGTAGATGGCCTCCGTGAGAACGGCGCTCTCGTAGTCCGTGGCTCCGTACGGCAGGCTCAGGACGATCTCGTTCTCGCCGGCCTTGAGCAGCTTCGAGTCGAAGACGAACTTGTTGGCGACGTTGTAGCAGATGACGGCCGACCGCACGGCGCACGAGCTGCTCTGGTAGTATGGGATCACCCACGGTTCCAGGTCCTTGCCGTTGACGTTGACCGTGTACTTGAGGTTCGAGTGCGGCTCGCTGGCGTTGAAGACGTCCGTGTTGCCCGCCGCCGTCTTCGCGCCCGCGAGCTGCACCGTGAAGGTAGCGTACCGCTTGCGCTCCACCTGCGCCTGCTCGAGGTCGAACGCGAGCGTCCAGTTGTTCACGTTGCCGTCGCCGAGGTACATCTCCGGCCGGAGCGAGTTGCCCTTGCCGCCGAACACCGCCCAGTGCACGTAGTTGAGGTCCGTGGCGACGTCGTCCTCGCCCACCCTGAACCGCACGCCCTCGGGGAACTCGGTCGGGAAGTCGTACCGCGCCCAGTAGATGCGGTACTCCTCCGGGTGCAGCGGCTTCGTGGCGTCGCGTGCGTAGCCGTGACGGTACTCGCCGGAGCTCTTGTCC